TGCCTCATTAATTTTGGGGGGTTAAATTATGACATATGTAATATCAAGACCATATAATCTTCTTTACTTTTATTTTCTCTTGCCTGATACACATTTGCTCATCTTTTTTTTATATATATACTTTCTGAATCGCTTGGCTTAGAACATTTCCTGTATTCAGCATAAACTCAGATTTTTCTTCTTATCTATAAGATCCAATCTAAGTGTCTTTATTTTTTTTTTAATTTTTTTTTTTTTAACATTTATTTATTTTTGAGAGAGAGTGTGAGCTGAGAAGGGACAGAGAGAGAGGGAGACACAGAATCTGAAGGAGGTTCCAGGCGCTGAGCTGTCAGCACAGAGACTGATGCAGGGCTCGAACCCACGAACCATGAGATCATGACCTGGGCCAAAGCCTGGCGCTCAACCGACTGAGCCACCCAGGCGCCCCTGAGTGTCTTTCTTTTAAAACTTGAATTTATTTTACTTGAACTCACTAATATAATCAATATATTGATCTCAGTTCTGTCCAATTGTTTTATTTTTAATTATACAGTTGATCCTTGAACATAGGTTTAAACTGTGCGGGTCCACTTATACACAGACTGGTTTGATAACTACAATATTGCAAATCTATTTTCTCTTATGATCTTCTTAGTGACTTTTCTCTAGCTGACTTTATTATAAAAACACATTAAGGGGCGCCTGGGTGGCGCAGTCGGTTAAGCATCCGACTTCAGCCAGGTCACGATCTCGCGGTCCGTGAGTTCGAGCCCCGCGTCGGGCTCTGGGCTGATGGCTCGGAGCCTGGAGCCTGTTTCTGATTCTGTGTCTCCCTCTCTCTCTGCCCCTCCCCCGTTCATGCTCTGTGTCTCTCTCTGTCCCAAAAATAAATAAACGTTGAAAAAAAAAATTAAAAAAAAAAAAAAAACACATTAAAAAAATACATTACACAACACATATAACACAGAAAATATGTGTTAAGCAACTGTTCGTGTCATGTTAAGTCTTCTGCTCAAAAGTAGGTTACTGATAATTAAGTTTGGGGAGAAGCAAAAGTTGTATGTGAATTTTTGGGGGCGCCTGGGTGGCTCAGTCAGTTAAGGGTCAACTTCAGCTCAGGTCATGATCTCACAGTTCAAGAGTTCAAGCCCCACATCAGGCTCTCTGCTGTCAGGGCAGAGCCGGCTTTAGATCTTCTACCTCTCTCTCTCTGCCCCTCCCCCATGCATGCTCTCTCCAAAACAAATGAACATTAAAAAAAGAGTTATATATGAATTTTTGACTGTGCAGGAGGTCGGTACCCCTAACCCCCCCATGTTTTCAAATGGTCAGCTGTACTTATAAACAAAGAGAGCTTTCATTTTATGATTTTATTTCATGTTTGGATGTTTCCTCTGCCACTAAAAAAACCAGCTATTCAAGGTCTTCTGTGGTTCCGTATAAATTTTAGGATTATTTGTTCTAATTCTGTAAAGGAATTGTATTGAATGTGTAGATTGCTCAAAGCAATTCTGAAAACCAAAAACAACACTGGAAGCATACCATCCCAGATTTCGAGATACACATTGAATTTTCTTGAAATTTTTGACCACCATTTTTTTATTCACCATATTTCTGAGTGCAGCTAGAAAATATAATAATTGAAATTAAGAGTATAAAGTCACAGAAACACTGAAAATAGAAAGATGGGAAATGAAGGTGATATGAGAATATGTAAGTCTCAAGTAGACATTAAGGCTTAAAGCATTACTAGAGATGAGGGACTTTAATAATGATAACAACGCCAATCTATATAGAAAATATCACAATTCTAAATCTGTATGCACCTGATAACGTACTTGCAAAATAGAAAAAGCAAAAGTAATATAACCTTAAGAAGGAAGAAAAAAATCCTCAATTATAATGGAAGACTTTAAAAAACTGATTTTAATGGCTACAAATTATTGCTGATCATGATGCTTTTCTGCTTAAAATATTCTACTAGTGCTCCAATGTCATGGAGAATACAGACCAAGTATCTTTAGTGGCATACAAGAATCTTCAAAATATGCTCCAAATTGCCTGTCGAAACTTTGTCTCTATTTCTCCCAGATGTCCCGTTTTCTATTGCATGTATGATACAAACTCTGGATATGACAGTCCTTTCTACAAAAGATGAGCACGAACCAAAGAAATTCTCACAGACAAGAGACTACACAGAAAAATGTGTTTTCTATGCAGATGAAAACTAACAATGTATTTGAAAATAAACTGACAGAAATCAAGAAAACACATAAATTTGGGATACCTGGGTGGCTCAGTCGAAAAACTGACTCTTGATTTCAGCTCAGGTCACGATCTCATGGTTCGTGGGTTCGTGCCCCGTGTCAAGTTGATAGCACAGAGCCTACTTGGAATTCTGTCTCCTCTCTCTCTGCTCCTCTCCCACTTAAGTTCTCCCACCCTCTAAATAAACATTTAAAAAAAAAAGAAAAGAAAACACATAAACAGTAACAGAACTGCTAAAGTAGAAACAGAAGAGCTCAGAAATAAAATTACTAGACACAGGACTATGTTACATGAAAACTGGTAAGTGTTAGGAAAGCATTAGAAAAAAATTTTCAGAAATGAAGGTCAAATTTGAATGAATGTAGTAGAAAGTTGATACTCCAGAAAGCACAATAAGGGAAAAAGAGGATATAAGGGAGAAAAATAAATACATCCATAACTGAGTAAAGAAAATCATTAAAACATTCAAGATGAAAGATACAAACATCGGGCAAAAGAGATTCAACCTACATATAATTGGAGTCCCTGAAGAAAATTTTTTCAGACAATAATTGAACAGAACATTAAAATTGTAGATTTCTCACAGATTACTTAAATCTGTATATTGAAAAGGCATCTGCGGGCTGGGGGGCGGGCTGGGGCTGGGGGCCAGCTAGGGTGTGGCCCAGGCACTCTGCTCCACATTGCTCGGTGCTCCTCCACACTGTGTACCCAGAGAGGGAGGTGACCGGAAACAATCTGACACCAGGTAAGAACCTGGGGCAGGATTAACCGAAGTGGAGAGAAATCGCACATTCCTGTTGGCTCCATAAGTACCTATGGACTGTGGCAGGAAAAGTGAAACGGGTCACTGATCCTGAGAAGTCAGTGCTGACAAGTAACTTTGAAAGGAGTCAGTGGGTCCACGTGACAAATGAGCATCACAATTTTTACCGGATGAGGGTGAAAACCAACAGAAACATTCTGAGTGTCACAACTGGCTATCAGTTCTCAGACAGTCACGTGGTCAACCACTTTCTGAGCCACTGAGAAGTGACTGGAAAGATGTGACTGTGAAGAACATTAAAAGCTACAGGAAGAGCTTGAGAAAAAAGAGGGTTCTCCGGCAGAAAAAGCTGAAAGCAGAAAACACCTCCATCGGAACTTTGTTTCAGCACCTGCAGCTGCCCACTGGCTGCAGCAGTTCGCTCAGGAGTTCAGAGCCCCTCCCGCTCCTGATCGGCAAACCCGGCGGCAAAGCCCAGGGAAAGGGCATCTTTCTGATCCACATGCTCTCGCAGATTGAACAGTGATCCCCAACAGCCGTGACCCTGTCCGCTGAAGAAGCTACATGACCTCTCTATCCATCAATGACCCATTACTAATCAGCGGGAGGAGGCGTGTGTCCTGCTGAGCTGTTCCACACGTAAACTTGGACTTTGCCACTTTTGCACAGTAAAACACACGCCAGGTGAGTTGGAGAACACGGGTGTTCATCTCCCCAACGCTGCCCTCTGGGGACGTGGGGAGGACTACAGCCACATCCACGGGGGCGTGTGGACCACGAGTGACCTGCGGCTCTACCTGGAGGGCACCCGAGGCGAGGGCGACCCGCGAGCTGCTCAGGGAGATGCCCTGGGTCACCGTGCAGCCGCTGGCCGCAGACAACATGGCACGGTGAGTCTCACGGGTGCGACACCACCGCAGACGACAGGCTGACACCCTGGCTGACCGAGGGGAACACGTCCGTCTCTCACATCCAGTACCACCAACGACCAAATCCTTAAGTATAACCTGACAGACGACACCCTCAATACTGCGTCCCTAATGCCACATTCCAGACTACACACAGAACAAGTCACGCCCAAAGGAAGTCGCTGGCAGTTAGGAAATTCGTGTTGACGAAGAGCTGGGCAAGGTGGTGGGGCAGACCTAGAGCTCAGTAGTTCAGGGCTAGTCGCTGGGGCCCAACGGGGGCGACGGAGAGACCAGGGGAACCGTCCTCACAACCCGGGGGCGGGGGCCAATAAGCACAGAAGACGGCAGCCTGGACGCTGCCAAATGCTAACTACACCGGGGCCCGTTCCGGAATTCCCCTTCCCTGGAGTGTGTTTCCCTCCTAAGCCCTGCAAACAAAGACACTTCTTTGGGAGGTGAGAGAAAATAAAAATGAAATAAGTACCTCGTTTCCTAAGATAGCGGAAGGAGTACTCCCGGTTAAATACTTTGATCTGGTATTTTATTTATTAGCATTATCTGGTGAGTCACAGAAAATACACACATAGCGATGCCTTTCACGTGGAAGGCAATTTGTACAATGATTGATAAATGAATAAAGAAATAAATTAATGAATGAATGGAGTGTAAAATAATCATGCTTCACCAAAAATACCACGATGACCTTTCAAACCTCCTACATTATTGTTATTAAAATACTGTTACTTATGGGGCACCAGGTGGCTCAATGGGTTAAGCGTCCGACTTGATCTCGATTCAGGTCACGATCTCACGGGACGTGAGTTCAAGCACAGAGCCTGCTTGGGATTCTCTCTCTCCCTCTCTCTCTCTGCCCCTCCCTTGTGCTCTCTCTTCCCTCTCTCAAAATAAATAAATAAACCTAAAAAAATACTATTAAAGTCTCAAACACTGGCCGATAATTAAGCTTTTTAAAATCAATTTTTATCCTAATGTGCAACAACATTACACGGTTTCCACAAGAATGAGTGGATCTCACGACCAAAGACCAACAAACACACCATAGCAGTACATACGTGTCTGTCCTCGGCACCAGAAGCCACGTAGCGTCCACAAGGGCTAAAAGCAATTCCACGTGGGTATCCGTGGTTCGGATGTCCTTCAAAACGGCGCTCACATCTACAGGAAAGAGAAGAAATACCAGGAAAAAAAATGATTTTTTAAATTTTAACACAAATGAGGAAAAAGACACTGACTTGTGGCTCATCTACACAACAATGCACAAATCGGCAGTGAGAGAGCACGCTTGTGCGTGAGAATTCTTGTGCGACAAGCAGGCTATTCTAGGTCTTTAAAATATAAAAACGTTTTAAAGTCATAAATCATTTGCATCAGTGACTCAAAGACTTCTGGGAGGCGCAACATTCTATCAAGGCTGATTAAGCGCCACACCAACTATTCACGAAGTGTGACGCACAACTGTTTACTGTAACGTGGGTCAGGGAACTAATGCTGGTTTTACTGAGAAAATGCCCAGCACTTTCTGGGGTCGCCAGGCAGCCCTGAGAAAGCCTTTGTCACCTGCACGGGGCTGGGCTCCAGGCGGCACTGCGGTGTCACACAGAGCCCCTGGTCCAGAACTTCAGTGCCTGCCCAAGATGGCCTCGCAGAACGTCCCCTCCACGTGTCGGAGGGGCTTTTGCATTGTTTTTAGCGATTACAGAGGAGAGCGAAGACTGTTAATTCTGTCCTTGTGAATCCACAGGTGTGCATATACACACACAAATACTTGCCACGTTTTGTTATACACACTATATATTTAGCTATTATGCTCCATAATACAACGGTCAAATACGTATATTTTTAGAGAACAGGAACATGCATGTATATGCTGTGCTTTATGAGCATCTGATGACCTCCCCGTGCATCTCTGACCCTCAGAGGCCACATGTCACACGCGCCGCAGAGCAGATACCAGCACCTCTTATTTTAACATTCCAAACTTAGGTGGCCTGTTCCGTGTAGAAATCAGACTTTTCTTAGACTGGTCAGTGTGAACAGATTCACCACAACCTTGTCGCATTTGGGAAAAAGAGATCAAACTGAGTTTACAGATACTGAGGCAAAGGGCCTCGGGAGCTTTAAAAGAAGCGTCTTTCACATACCGCAGCTGCAAGGCCTCACCTCAGGGTTCTCAAGTCCCACAGCTTTATCCCATCGCCAATGGCTGTGGTGGCAAAAAGGTTATAAACCTGATATTGTTGGGTCGTGAATGATGATCCCTGTGATTGTAAGGGGAAGAAACAAGATGCGTTCTTTAAAGGCTGAATTAATAAACATTACACTGATCCGAAGTAAGAAATTAACACAAAGCTTCTTTTCTTATTTATAACAATTTCAGAATTGGGCTCCAAGAACTTCCTTCTGGATAATTACTAATGGTACATTTTGACCTTGGGAATTATTGGTGTATGATTTCCAAATGCAAAATGCCACTGAAAGTTATAGAGGTACAATAAAAGATCCAAAGACTATAACATTAATACACCAAAATTTATTTTTAAAGTGCAGAACATAATCCATCTTCAGTAAATCACCTGAAAGATGCCCTTACTAAGGAATTCGAGGTTTGGAGTCAGTTGTTAATCTGCCGACCATAAAATCCTAAGACCCCCATGCAGCTGTCCGTGCACGGACTTGTGTGAAATCCAGCCCAGGTCACTGGGCAGGGTCCCTCTGAGGACCCGCCTCTGATCTGATCGTCACCCCTCCTCACGCTCTAGCGACTTACGACGTCTCGTGGAATGGAGCGCACTCCATCTACAGAACAATTTTTAGCCTCAAACATTAAATATATTATGGTTCATAACAATTTCCCTCTCCCTTCCATGTCAAGAATATCCAAACGATTAAGAAAAATTTAATGAAATATATCTGAAAGCTTTTATCTTTACATATGTAGAAGTTATTCTTCAGTTACAAACAGGAAATGAAGGTTTACATAAATCCATAACAATAATAAACTAATACGTAGAGGGAGAGAGTCTTAGCTCTGTACCAGACAGCATTCTAAACACTGAACATTTCATCCTCTTAACAAACTTGTGAGACGTAAACTATTTTATACCACTTCAGGTGACAAACACGAGACAGAGGAATCAGGAATCCGCTCACGGCCATCCAGCTCCTGATCTCAATGTGGATTAGCGGTCCACGAGCCGGCACAAGGTCACTCATAACATCCCGACAATTCAACAGACATCCAGCAACATTCAGGGATCATCTACTAAACAGTGGGCACTTTGCAAGGCACTGAGTATGAGAAGAATAAAACACAGACGTAGTTTCACAGAAAGGCAGACGGGCAGATGATTGTATATTTAAAGTACCTTACAACATTGCTAGTTTCCTGAAGCCAACCAGTAAAAAACTGAAAGCTTTCACAGGGATAAAAGGAGAGTTAAAAATGTTTTCAATCAGTCCAATAGAGGCTAAGGAAGAAGAAATGAAGAAGCAAAGAAAATTCATGATAAACAGACAGTGCAGAAGGTTTTTTTTTTCTTTAACATAGAAGACAATGCACAAAATAAGATCAAATATATGAGCAATCACAGTAATCGCAAACAGACGAAACAAGTAAACAAAAAAATTCTTAGTTGGACTTCAAGAAAAACACTTAAAACATATTATTTTTAAAGGCTGAATGTGAAAGGTAGGAGAAAAACAGCATGTATTAAATAAAAGAAGGCAAGATGGATTGCATAAGTACTAGAAGAAATAGATGTAAGGCAAATAAGACCTAATTAAAAACAGTTTATAAATACTATAAAATATAAGAAGTCTGACGTAAATATACCCAATAATATAGCCTGTAAATACATAAGGCTAAAATTAATAGAATTATAAGAAGAAAGTGACATGATTACAGTCGGAGAGACAAAGATCTTAACTACATTTCTCTACTTAAGAAAAAACCAAGAGTACAAAAAAATTAGTAAATCTTGAATAATTTGAATATACTTAATAATGTTGGGCCAATAGATATCTATGCAAACATGTTCCAAGAGCTTATTCGTTCCACACACACACACACACCTATAAAAACCAACCAGACTCCCTCTCTCTCTGCCCCTCCCCCGTTCATGCTCTGTCTCTCTCTGTCCCAAAAATAAATAAACGTTGAAAAAAAAAAAA